GCGCGCGAAGGAACCACCGACAGCTTCGGCCCACAGCCGGATGCCACCGCCTGCCCAAAACGTACCGACAGCGAAGTGCACAGCCTCATCTCTCCATCCAGAAACGCGGGTGAAGAGRGAAACGAATGCACCACASTTCCAACACGCCCGGASGGACGGAAAGCCTCCACCTGTGCACGGGGGCGCAAAAGGAACACAACCCCTCTCCCCCCTGGGCCCACACCCGCCGGTTGCCGCGGGCACCACCAACAGCACTCGACGCAGGCGAAACCCAGGAGACAGAGGACAGTAAGCGCAGCGCCAGTTGGTTGAGTGAACCCAGGCCCTGGGCCGCCTTTGTGAATATATGTGAAGCAGGCCCTGGGTTGGATACGGGGACCGGACCAAACACAGGCCAAAGGCAGTTGGGCACATGCAACCACTTCAGGCCCAAGACCTGCTCTCGTCGTGCTGGGCCTCAGGCTACCGGGGCCTACTGGAAGCTTCCTGGGATTGGACGCAGGCAAGCCACTTCGATATAGGAAAGGGCCTGACTCCTCATTCGACATTCGGGTGCTGGCTGCATGCTGCGCAAGCGCTGCTGCGCTGTTTGCTGGCTGGCGCCTACGCTCTCACGTGCGAATAGGGAAGGAGCACGCAGCCATAGCCGAGCAGCGCTGCTGTAAGCTGGGTGATGCGCAGGGTGGTCCTTGGGTGCTAGTGGCATCTGTGAGTTGGGGAACAAGGTTGTGAGTGTAGCGTGAGACATACCTGGTGCTGGAAGCATGCGACATTGGTCGCCATATGCTCGTACTTCGGGAATGTTGTTGACGTCATCTTTCGGCATCGTAGTATAGGGTAGATAGGATCTGCCACATGTAGTCTGGGCGCCGAGCGCCAGATAGGATATCAACTCTGGTTCTTCATTGATGATGATGGGACTATTTCAGCATTGTCAATTATGAACTCTTGGTGTGTTCTTATTTGGTGAATCTCGTGATGCAATTGTGCTGTTGGTTCCAGGTCAAGACTATCTGGACTCTTATGTATGATGCTGTTTGATTGCTGAAGTTCGCTATTGCTCATCTTCCTTGCAATTTGGTATCAGAGCTGTGGTACAATTGCGCTCATCTGGCGCTTGTCTTCTGCCTTGTGCGGTACATACATGCGGTCTGCTGGGCGAGTTTGGTCGTAAGTGGTGTGTAGTGAGGAGGGTGGAGACGAATGTGTAGGCGACCCAGGAGGTGAGGGGATCGCCAGGAAGGCTACGTGGGGTTAATGTGGTCTGGACAGTATAATGAGAACTATCTAATGTGCGATTGATGCTGAGGTGGAACGGCGAAATAATGCTGGTTGTGCCGATGCAGTGACTGGTCATCGCAATCGCCATTTGGTTATCTGGTGAGATTATCTCTGTGGTTGGGGGCAACTAATTGAGGTACGTTGCTCTTAACCTTATCTTCCCTCTCCGACACTTCTTACCGTGAGGTTGTGTGTTCCTTCTTGAGAGTCCTCTCATCGTGAGGTGTGGAGTGCGCTCAAACTTGAGAGTCGGCAATGTTCACGTGGAGCATCTGGGTGGAGATGGGCGGAGCTTTCTGAAGGGCCCTGGACGAAGCACTGGGTCACGGTCACCATGCCAACCCACAGGGAGTAGAGCATGCATGCCTTGCTGCTTGTCCTTTGTTCGGCTTGCTGCGCTGTTAGATGGGTACTACTGGGCAGGCCAGCCCTACAGGAAAGACGAGCACCCGGCGTCTATAAATAAACACGGGAAGGGGATATCACTGGCTGTGATCGTCGTCCTGTTGCGACGTAAAATAATTCCTGATGTCACTTGGGGGCAGATGTTAAAATGCCTCTGGATCAGCCAGTGATGTAAGGCTCGCGGCACGCCAAGGATAAATATACGTGCAAGGCTGGCCAGCTCAGCGGATACTCGGGGCACGCGGGTGGGCCGGACACAGACCTTTAGACACGCGACGCTCTACAGATCGCTCAGGGACGCTGACGTCAAGTGATACTCAGGGGAACTAAGGGAGGGGTTGATTCTAGGTGACAAGTTCAAGAAAATTCCATGCTGTCCTATCCACACAAATGATTTTGTTTTTATGTTTTGATTAGTTAGGTGTACAGCCATTGACATCTGACAGACAACATTAGTTAGAACTGTTTATTGTTCCTGGTGTTTCTGTTTGCGGACTAGTCAGACTAAAAATAGTTTTGTTTGTAGGAATCCGACTTACCTGTTGACCTCAAGTGATATCTATTTCGAAATAGCAACCAATTACTTTGTTGGTTTGTGCACTACGCTGCGGTAGGCATACAGTGTGCAACAGTGCAGATTGTGTACAAGTCTGTAGCTTATGAGCGATAGGGAGGAACAGCAACCGGACGACCGGATTTTGCGATCGGCGAGGCGCCCAGTAGCCCATTTGGCATTAGGACTAGAGGGCGACAGACATTTGTCCCGCCAGCTTAGGGAAAGGCAGCAACAGAAGAGGAGGGCTAGAGCGGCGGAGGCTAGCAGGACACTCGTGAGTGAGACCGCAGTTTCGAAAGCCATGTCTACCTCAGCAATGCAGACTTCTCAAGCCGGTAGTTCAGGGTCTGTTGGGTCAACGGTCGCGCAGACCCAGGTGCAGTCCACTGGCGTAATGGCGAGCCAGCCATTGCTGTTGACTCCTGAGGAGATCGCCATACAGGAGGCAATCCTCCAGGAGGCACAGCTACAGAATGCTTTAGGAAAGATAAAAGCAGAGAAAGAAAAGATGATCAGAAGAAGAGCTAGGATGCAACGTAGATAAGCGGACGTTAGTGAGTTAGAGGAAATGGACCTGACGAATGTGCCTGAAGATGTGAGACTTGTACGGTCGGTCCTGCTGAATGTAGTAGAGATGCAGGACCATCAGACAATCATCCTTCAGGACATCCAGCAAAGTCTGGCCCTGTTGGTTGGGCGAACGCAGGCCACGTCGCCAATGTCCGGGCCTGGTGCCTGGCCCGTTGCACATCCTCCTCCTTATGTCCCACCGGTGACTGGGGTATCCCCATATGTAGCTCCATCATCGGTTGCGATCGTTTCCCTGGGCATGCCGTTGTCAGGAGGGGTATCAGCATGGACTAGCTTGCAGGTTCCTGTTCAGACAGTGTACACCCAAACTCCGTTGCAGGTTGCAGTCACCACGCAGCCTGTTGTCTCGCACCCTGTGCAGCCGCAGGGCACACAGCCCCAGCAGTTGGCACAGCGACCTGTGTCACAGGGTCCACAGCCCGTGGTGATGCAGGGACCGGGACAGACACAATGGGTCCCAAAGACGGCCATCGCTGCTCCCAAACCTTTCACAAGGGATAAGAGGGGCGAAGACCTCGACATATGGTTGAGGGCAGTGCCGGTCTACGTCAGGTGTAAACTTACCTTGCCACACGAAAAAGTGTTTGTGGCTGCCTCCTACCTAGAGGGTAGTGCAGCAAGATGGTTGAGTGGGTTAGTGCAGCTCCAGGGGTATGGTCATGACTTCCGCGCTTGGGCGGCCTCCCAGAAATTGGAGGACTTCCTGAAGATGGTGGAAGAAAGGTGGCATGATCCTCAGGAGGCCCAAAGGGCCACTGATGCGATCCTGGCACTGCACACGCGGCAGTTTAAGTCAGTAAGGGAAGTCGCCGACGCTGTTGAGCGTTTGATCTGTGTCCCAGGGGTGAGCTATGACCCCCAGGTGCTACTCACCTCGTACTTGAGATGCTTTTCTCAGCCTCTCAGGAACCAGTTGGCAAAAGAGGCCAACATCAATATGCACAACTTTCCTTCGTTCAACAAGGTGGCCCTAGACCTTGAAGCTAAGATAGGGCATGGACAGGCACCCACTATGGATGGGAGAAAGAAGACACTGCCTCCCAACTGGAAGGCGAAGGGTCGCTTGATGTTCGTCGATAATGATGGTTCTACCATCGAAGTAGATGAGCACTTCCAGGAGGGAGTAGGTTCAGAGGCGGCCAGTGTAGAAACTTCAGAGGGTGGAGTAGTCGCTGTCGTTGCTCAAAAAGGTAAGGCGACCGGTAAACGCCGCGAAGGCTCCCGGTCCAGGAGTCAAGTTGACCCCAACGCTCCTCCATGGGAGAAAGCGGGTCTCACTGAGGACGTGTGGAGAGACCGGTACTCACGGCAGACCTGTATTCGCTGTGGTCAATACGGTCATAGTCAGTACAAGTGCCGCAATAAGAAGGTAACCGAAAAGATCCCGCCTACGATGGGGCATGTGCTTCGATGAATGTGTTTGAGTCCTTAGAGGAGCTAGAGGTGGAGTGGTCTAGATCAGACCCACTAGCTTCTTGGACGACACTAGTCAAAGCCCCGAAGGGTGAGATGTTCGTCAACGAGGTTGTCATTGGCGGCCGCAAGGCCGGGGCCTATTATGACACTTGCTCGACTAGGAACTTTATTAGTCGCGCGTGCGTTGAGAGGCTGCGTTTACAGGGGCGAGTGCAGCGCCTGAGTCGACCTGTGGAGTCAATCTGTGCCAACAAACAGCGCATGGTAGTCAATGACTACCTCCAGGATGTTGAGTGTTGTTTCCCGTACGCGGGAGGGGACTTGAGACATCCTATCTCGTTCCTAGTAAGTGACGAGCTCCCAATGGATATGTTACTAGGTATGTACTACCTCTCTGTGGCACAGCCCCAGTTTGACTGGGACCGAAAAGTGGTCAAACACACATTGCCAGGTGGAGGGACCGCCAGATTACATAAGTTTAAAGCTAGTAGTCTGATTGAGTCCTATGGGTGCATGTGTGCGACCTCGTTCTACAATTATTATAAGCAAAATCAGAAGGAGGGTATGTATTTAGTTTATGTCTCTGCTGCAGGCGAGCCGGTGAAAATGTCGTCGGAGATAGAGGGAATAGTTGCTAAGTACCCTGATCTATTTGAAGAGCCAACAGGGGTTGTTGAGAGGGAGGTCGTCCATGCAATAGAGATTATCCCAGGGTCTAGTATCCCGAAGGGTAGGCCTGCAACACTTAGAGCAACGGGAAAAAACACTCAAGTAGCAGGTAGTCCGGTACCACTCAAGTAGTGGTAGGAGTGTCGGGTATTGGAGGCCAAGCAAAAGAAGACAAAAGTTGGCATTTTTAGAGGCCCAGTAGCGGTAGGATAGAGGTAGGCCGGTGCCAGTCCAAGTAGCCCGGGTCTAGGGCCTGTCCGGAGGATAGCAGAGCCTGCAATGATGTTTCCCTCCGAAAGGGAGGAGGTACCGGTTGCTGGGAGGCCGCTCGGCCTTGGAAGTCACCGCCCAAGAGGCCAGTAGGGCGCTATATCTTTCGGAGGAGCAAGTAGCTCCTCCTCATTTGCGGTATGCAAGGATTGGCGACATGCTGCTGGAGCACTGCGCTGGACTGATACAGCGCTGCTTGGAGGTGAAGGGAGTTAGCGCTCAGCCTGGCTATGGCGAGCAGCCCAGCTTGAGGAGGAGGAAGAAGGGGGGGCGAAGGAGGAGAGTGGCAAGGCACCTACCTGGCTATGGTGAACACCATCTTCATCACCTTGTTGGGCGCTGCATCTGGAAGGCCCCAGCTGGGGTAACGCCGCATCAAGGAAGCTCGAGGCAGAGTCTGGCATGGCAGATCAGTCAGCAGCGGCATAGCTGCTTTGGGTTGTCCTTTGGACAGGAGTGCAGAGCCATAGCTGCTTTGGGTTGTCCTTTGGACAGGAGGGCAGGACCCTCAGTAGTCCGCCATAGTCTATGCATGTGAGAGGAGGCTGAAGGAGGGAAGCCATAGTTATGGTGGACTTGTTGTTGTTGAGTCAGCAGTAAGAGGGAACTTCGGATATTGATTGTGGTTCATCCATTCATTGTTATTATTATTATTGGGAGAAGAATAAGATTGGCGAAGTAGTAGGAGGAGGTAGGTGGAGAGAGAAGGGGGGAATTGTCATTGGTCTTGATGGTGCATATCTTCTTCTTCTTCTTCTTCTTCTTCTTCTTCCTCTTCTTCTTCTTCTTCTTCTTCTTCTTCTTCTTCTTCTTCTTTCTCTCTCCTCTGGTCTCTATCTCTTTGCAAGTGCTTTCATTTCTTTCGCAATTGTCTTTCATTGTGAATTTGCACTTTGGGAATGACCAGGATCGTAACAATTGGTATCGGAGCGGACTTACATGCTGGCGAGAGGTGTTAGTCACCCTAAACCTAATTCCGAATTAGGTTAGGGCTAACCTAATCTCGGATTAGGGTTGGGAAGTTAGGGTTAAGAGGGGCAGTGAGGTATGTGGATACTGCCCCCATCTGGTTTGGTCATGTAGGGTCGACATCAAACCTGACCAGGTTGCTTGAGTGATTGGATGGGGTGGCGAGACACAAAGGAGGCTGATTGGAGTAAGTGAGAGGGAGTAGAGAGTGACAGGTACTCGCACCTGGAATCTGCACTTCAAGAAGACATTGAGTGACTTTTGGGCTTCCCCTCAAGAGGGAGACTTGATAGGAGGCTGCCATATCTGCATCGGAGGGCTGCAAGTCGCTACTTTGGTCTTCAGACATCGACGGGGAATCCGACGTTGTAACGGGGGTGTAGGAAGGCCCTCTTAGTCATGCTAGGACACTTCGTGTAGTGGTAGCTAGGGGTCAGGAGGACTTATGAGAGAGGGGGGTGAGTCATTATCCATCTTTGGAGGCCGGGCCTCACAGGTAAGTGTCGTGTGACCTGGTTATGCCCGTGGGAGGTTGCTTGGTGCTTCATGGCCTGTTGGGGTGTGTTGGACTCTCTTCCTTTTCTCTGCGGTCTTGGTTGTGTGTATGAGCATGTGGATTGCTTTCTCACCTGATGGATGGATGGATGATGTATCTATTCCCAATGGCATATCTTTCTACGGTGCAATGTCTTTTCATTTCTGAATGGCTGTAGGGGTGAGTTCCTGGTGAAAGTTGTCTTTTCCTTTTCAGTACGGTAGAGGTAGTTTGGGACTGACTTGGTACACCTATCTCGTTGGTCCTGGTCCACGACCTACTTGGGACCTTCGGGACTCAGTGGGACCAGGCCCAACGGCACAGGACCTTTAGGGCCCAAATCTGTTGCCGTCAATGCATCTCTTTGCTGTGCTGAACTTGGGGGACATACGGCTAGCAAGGGCATTCCTTTCAAGGGGATCTTGACTGGTCTTAATGCATGTTCTCACATACTGCCCCGCGTCTGGCTCGGTGACCGTCTGCACCCCTCGAAATCTCCATTGCTGCAGTTAGTTTTCTTCGGCTGATTTATTGTGGTACATGAACCTTGTCAGGTTAGACAAGAGGGGATCTCCAGATAATCTGATCGGGCCCGTTCAATAAGTTAGTCCTCTCTTTCGTTTTATTTTTTTTATTTATGTTTATTCTACTGCGTGAATGCCATCTCTAAGTCCAAATGAATTGCCGCTCCGGCTAGGACTTCTACCTTCTACTCTTTGTGATTTACTGTTTGTTTCTTTTATCTGAACTATCTACGTCCGGTATTGAGACGCGTGCGCAGAAAGTGGAAAGAGAGGGAAGGGAGAGAGGTGTTCTTTTTGAGAGTGTGAGGAAGGGAAAGAGGAGTGTTCGTCTGAAAGTGAGCAAAGTGCGGACCCCTCTTGAGAGATCTACTGACACCCTATCCTCCGGCATGGCAGACATCAAGTCCGAGCAATGGAAGGCCATGCTGGACGCAGCGGCCGATAACGAGAGACCTTTCTTTCATAAACTTTATGAGGACGCCATACACAGAGAAAGGGAGGCAGAAAAGCAGCCAGAGCCACAAGTATTTCTGAACAGGTGGCCCTCCTTGCGGTTCCGGAATCGAATGATGACCGGTTCCAAGAGAAGATAGTTGCCGCCGTAGCAGCCTTGGTTTAACTGCGGACCTTGGAAGACCTTGAGTCCCGTGTGTCAACTCTGGAGCAGCAGAACCAAGAGCTGCAGGCTGAGATAGTTAGCCTCAAACAGTCCCAACTGTCTAACCCCCGTCCTCCTAACCCTCGATTTGCTGCAGTCTCAGTCTCTCACCCTAACACAGTCCTCATGACGAGAGCAAGTGGAACTGTGACAAGCGCAGGAACCGGTGCCAGCGCCTCAAGCGGCAGGGCCGACAGTTCTGCACTGGTCATAGTCCCAAATGTAGGAACATCAGCCCAAAACGCCACAGTTTTTACTGGCGTACAGTACAGCGGTCCTGTAGTGGACAAGCGGGCGGCCACTCAGCCGTCCAAGTACGACGGGAAAGGGGATATCACCTCTTGGATTAGCTCCATGCGCTCATACTTCGAGGTACTGCGAACACCGCAGGAAGACCGAAGCATGATCATGGGCACTAATACTGAGCCCGTCGTACGGAGTTTCATAGAACTCCAAGATGTTACCGCAGGTTATGAGAGGATTGACCTGACCGAGTGGATGAAAGTGACTCCTGTACGTACTCTTGAGGACCTCCTCATCACGCAATATCAAGATAAGGACGCTGCGCTCAAGGCAAGACTGAAGCTTGAGGCCCTCAAGGGCCAAACATGGAGGACTTCCATGCAGGCTTTGGAGCAGCACTTGACCGGTCTGTTCACCACGCCAAACTGGGATTGACTGGCGTGTCTTGCATGGATGTAGTCATGGTTGTGGCCCCTAAAGAATACATCTCTCTGCTAGGACTCAAAGACCATACCACTTGGCGAGAGCTACTGATGGATCTAGTCAACCTAGAAGCCAAGGAACTCGCCAGGCGTGTAAAGGTACCCGCTGCAGGTAGAACCTCGCAACGCAAGCGGTACGGAAGCAGCAACCAGCTTGCCCTGCATAAACATCAGGAGGCTGAGGATCAGTCCTATGCGGATGATCTGTCTCTGGATGACGATCTAGAGCCGGACTCCGACGTGGGTTGTTCTACATCAGTCCTTGAGTCTAACGTGAATACTGAAGAAAAATGTAATGCCTTTAAAGATACTGCTTCGAGCAAGGGGCCTAACCGTAGTTCGGGTAAGGGAACTATAGCACACCTCCCCAAGAATGCAAAGATCCCTTAGAAACCGGAGGATGCTTCTACTAAGCCTTGGGAAGCCCTCCGCATCAGTCACAAGGAATGGGAAAGAAGATCCAAACTGCGCGTGTGCTTGCATTGTCAAAAGCCTGGGCATGCTGTGCAAGATTGTTATCGTCTTCAGGGAAACAGACAAAGGGCGTAGAAGAGTCATCAACACTCTCTACAACAAGGGAAGCTGAACAGTCAGTTGCAGGCCCCTCCAAGGAGCCTGAATGTGATCAACATCTTGCTCTTGAAGCCCGAACTGACGCTGAATCCAAGGTTGGTGCAGTCCAAGTACTTTACACTGAGCCTTGGGAAAAGACTAAGGAAGTTGACCTCCACTCTCAC